TCCTAGTGAGCAATTTCGGTTTGGTGAACTTCTACTGCACTATCGAGAAAGGAATATGTACATTGATTTTGGATGTACCTTTTATGTATATTTCAATTGCAATGTATCATTGAATTTTTATGTGGGTGATGAGTCTCATACTTAAGGTCCTGTAGTTGTTATTTGGTAAATGTTCAACCAATCGAGGATAGTAATTGAAAATAATTGTACTGCGTGATACATTCAGTTAATAAATTGAAAAGCATAGTATATACGTTTTTTTATCACTCAGACTTTATAAAATTACTCAAGACACAATGATCTGAATTAAAATATCGTAAAACACTGATAAAGGAAAAGCCTAGTTATTAATCCACTTCAGAGCTACTTTAAAATGTTAGATGTTGTGAACTAAATGCTCAAAATAAACGTCATTGAAAGCTAAGAAGTTCATTTGTATCATTTTTATTTCATAATTGCTCTTTATGGTTTCCATACTATTTGTCCATTATCGATAGTGCAGTGTACAGTGTGTAGCTCATATCCAGCGTACATGTACGACAGAGGTTGTCAACAGAAATGTGAATGCAATAAATTTTCTTATACATGTAGTTGTCTGCGTTGATAGTTGTAGTTGTGATGTGTTATTCATGGCACATGATATTTCAGTTAACGTTTATGATTAAATTTGATCAAATTTAAATGTAGTATACTAATAATGCTATTATAAATTCCTTTTGAAAACAATGAAAAGGACATGTAGGTACACTCTTTAACACTTGAATGCCCGTCTAGATCTGTCCATGTGTCTTTCTGTTTGTGCATAATTATAGTCAGTTACCACAGCAACTACTCATCGCAGACACATTGTAGCTGAGATTTAAGCACTATTAATAGTAGCTTTTATACGAATCTGACGTCAACTTCCTGTTATTCTGTGAGACAATCCTTATCAATTTTTTGTTGCAGCTGTCACAACAACCTCTTATCGCAGATACTTTAAATTTTAACAAAACCCTTGTTTTGCAAAACCATATGTTCCGATTTTTTTTTGTATGAATCCAATGTCAACTTTCTGTTTAACCTGGCGTCGTGTCGTACCAAATTACTATAACAGTATTTTAGCAATCACTCAAGGCAGATGCTTGAATTTAAACACAGCAATGGAATATTTTCAGTGAGATTGGCCATTTTTTTTTCAAATGTGCCTAATGCATTGATCATCACGATGGAACTTTCCAGAGTAAACTCTATACAAAAAAACAAAAGCGTAGCAATTCGTATGACACAAATCAGCCAAAATATGACCCATTGATTCATATAGATTAATGTACTCGCTAATAATAAGTACACTTTAACTATGATTGTCGAGATTGTAGTAACAACAGCTAATCAGTAAGGAGTATACATTGCTTTAATTATTAATCGGAGTGAAAGCAAACTCTTCAGCAGAGAAAAAGATTGGACACATAAAGCATTAAACAGATGGTAGTGGAATTTTATAATACAAATACTGAATCGTTTCGTATTGAATATGGTTTATATGTATGGTATTCACCAGAAAGCGATCAATATTAAGTGAGCGAAGGGTGCACAATGACGCCATTCTGAACTTGGATAGTTGAGAATGAAAAAAAATAAATATCCATATTCAATTTGTAACTTTAGTGTTTTCGTTCCCGATTTTCGGTATGTGTAAAACATCAGAATTTCGAAAAATAGTCCCGCGTTAGGCTTGTCTAACATTTTTCCTTCTCAGAAACATAGCTGTCTACAGTCGTTGCAACCGTTGTTTACAACGTTTGTTTCAGATGTTGATTATGACGTCACAATGCAGATGCATTCACTGACCCTCAAGTAAATTTGTCCACAAATCCGGTGAATATTTAATGTGATGAAATGTTTGTGCTTGTATAGATTATACAGGGACTTTATTTTAACAAAATGATAATAGCAATATACAAAATATGAAAATTTGACAATGGAAATCAATGAGGTCATCTTCTTTGTCATAAAATATACAGGTAACTCTCGAAACCTCGAAGTCCGCGAGACCGAGGAAAAACGTCGAGAGATCAAGAGTTCGAGTTTTCAAGAGTCCGGATTTGTTTGACAGGTTTTAAAATTAGTCATACCGGATGTAATTAGTTTAATGCAGTTCTTACTTTACACGTGGTTTTTACAAAACAACGATATGTTTTCGTATTTTAAGTGAATATTTATTTAACTGCGTAAAGCAAAAAAATTTCATCATCAGTTCGTGTTTTTAAAAAAAAATTATCATACGGCTATTATCATGATCATTCTACTCATTCGTTATATGAAAACGGCATAGACCAGCCTCGCGTGGTACATGACTTTTCCAAACATGTGCATTGAACGAAATTCTGTATGTATTTGTCAAAAAAAAAAAAGTCGTCATATTGACAGAGGGGCTGTTTCTGAATTGTCATCTTTCGTTACACTTTGAAACTGATTCGAAATAAACATTTTATTCATTAGTTAATTGTTTGGTCTCGTAATCTGCAACGTATAACAATTTCTCAGTGACACTACGTGTCTGAATTATCGTAATACAGACGATGATAATTATTTTGATAGCATATAGGCACCATAAGCAATAAGATTAATTATAAATCAATTATCACCTTGCAGAATAAGTGTCCCCTGAATAAACAGGTGACCAATAAACATACTGTTTCACGAGACCCGTGTCTTCTGCCTGGGGTCATTAAATGACCAGGTAAAGTTGCTAATTATGTAATTTTGTATACACAAAGCCACTTCGAGGTATCAAGGGTGAATTTCAATAGAATATGCACAGCGGGACTGCAATTTTACTTCGAGAGATCAAGGGTTTCGAGAGATCAAGAGTTCGAGAAATCAAGTGTAAATTTGCTAAGTTATATAGGGAAAAAATTCGGGACCGGAGTCTGACTTCGAGCGATCAAGAACTTCGAGAGATCGAAGTTCGAGTCATTAAGAGTTACCTGTAGTTGTTAATTGTCCTTTACACGAAAAAGTTCGCAAACTCATTGAATAACTTCCAAAAAAGAAATGATATATGGTTTCGTTGTTGAAAATGTTTCAAAGTAGTCCTCTCTGATCTTAATGCTCATATCCAACCATTCTGCCCATGAGCAGATCACGTGACATGCTCTTAAGCTTAAGTTTAATTGTCAGAAATGACCTAATCTCTGAAAAAGTTTGGATGGATAATGATATCCTTTTGCAGAATGAGCATGGTGACCATCAAAACCCAAGTCCCCTGTCTTTTGAGCGTCGTTTATTTCATGTGGATAAAGTATTAGTGCCTTCACCTTATCATATATAATATGTTTAATCTAAAGTAAACGATATTTTAGGGATTTGATAATTGTATTGTAAAGATATTCATCTTTTTTTCTAACAGTAAGTTGGCGATCTTTTATATCAAATTGCTTAATAAAGGATAAGTCTCTCTCCAAGTTTGCTTTCACTGGGCAGCAGAACAAACATCATTTTTAAACATCTCCCTTCCTTCACTCTAACAATCAATCCAATTAATGACAAAACTTCTATCAAATCATTTATCTTCATAAACCGTATTCAATTTATTATAAACTTATACAAAGGAATTTCCAATATATACGATTAACTTCACAGCAGTTCGTTTCTCGTATACGATTGAGTCAACAATTTTTTCTCACAAGTGGTCTACCTAATGACGTCCTTTTCACATTGTGTCGTCACAAACACGGGGAAAAACGTTCCATTACAATGCCATTCATAAAACACTTGTATCACTTTATATGTGTCTAATTTCATTCTGATCTGTATTATGGTTTTGTAAATATAGAGATAGTTTGCTAACTTGATCACTCCTCGTAGTCTATATTCGTCAACACCTCCAAATATGAACAATCTCTTTTACTCTAACTATTAAAAAAAAACAAAAATCAATTTTTCTCAACAAAAAGGATATCTCTTAAATATTGAGAATTATTTATTTTATAATAAAGATTGCTATTTTACTTTAGCTTTTACTTTTAAGGACAGATGATACAAACAAAAAATTGGTGCCTGGATTGGTACATATTTTCCGGTCTTATTTCATTGAAAATCATACAAAAAAAATTCTAGAATATAAAGAAATTGTAAACCTTCTATGATGTTCAAACTTCTACCTCTCTGAAACGATCCTTATTAATGTGTACAAATATTTTTCTATTCAAATCGCATTTTTGGGAGAATTTAAATAAACATTCAAAAACTGCGCGGTTAAACTAATTCATTTTACTAAATAAAACATTACTCAAATTGTTATTTTCAATTTATTTGACAAAACATTATTTGTTTAATCTGTCCTTAAGCAATAGAAATATCAAAGATATGGGTCTAGATAATATACATAACATAACACACATGTAATTGGCTTAGGTATTGACCTTGTGTACTTCTGTTCTGAAGGGGATAAGAGTTGATTTTTATGGTATGAAATCAAGATAAAAAAATATGCAGATGTTTTAAAATTAATTTTCTCCCGAATATAGTACTTGCATCTTTACTTCTTGATAAGAGTCAAACATAGGAAACATAGGAAATTCTAATTGTTTATTCCGATGAGCCTTCTAAGATTCAATTTGGACGCCATATAAACAGTTATAGACTTGATTGATAAATCAATAATTTTGTTTGCCGAATAACAAAAATATTCGTGATGCAATTTTAATCAACATATAAGTTTCTCCCTCCATACAATACATGTTAAATATATCTTAAATATGATTGAAAAATTCAATGCTTATATTTGATTAAATTATTTGAAAAGATAATTATTCCTCTAATTTCCTTTTAAAAGATATCTTTTCTTTTACAATGATTTTAAAATAATAATAAAATTATAAAGACTTTGAATCCAAAAGGCCTCCAAATACTATTTGTTGTTGTTGAGCCCTGGGATGTTTAACAACAACAAATAAACAAACAAGCTAAAAAATTCAGAACAATTTAAAGGTTAAAACAGATGTATGATTGTGTACATTTTATTCAATATTCATATGCGATTAAATATATAAGATATATAATATAAATAGTAATTATTGCAAATAATTTCATTTATGTGACATGTTCTTGTTTTATTATGTTATTATAAAACAGTGTCTGTATTGGACTTAGTTTTATACTAAGTAGGTATTCGGTTCCTTTTTTGAACTAATTTTACCCTTTTTCACGTGATCATTATTGATCCGTTTACCAAACGAGAAAGCATGGTTTATTGAACTGCTGAATTTTTCGAAAATACAGTGGACCTTCAGATATCCGGACGCCAGATATCCGGATGCTTCAGTATCCGGACGATTTTTCATCGGAACAGATTTATAAATAGCTATTTTATTGTGTTTAACTGATAATTCAGCTATTCGGACGCTTCAAATATCCGAACAAATTAACTAGGAACCAAAGCGTCCCGATATATGATGCTCAACTGTTTTAGGGATAGCCATTAAGGATGGCAGCATAATAGAAAACATGTAATCGGTTAGTCAGAAAAAGTAAAAAAATATACAAATGCGGGTATATTAAGGAAGCATTCAAATCATTTTCCGGAAATAAATTACCAAAGCAAGTAATAAAACGTAAACTATTATTAACAATTGCAAGATGATATTAGAGTGCACCACCGCCACCTCATCTATTAATAGCAAAATGCCTCTTAATGAGAAATCTAACAATACAATGGGTAATATTTGAATGCACTCTATTTTTTTTATTTTACGTCTCATGATTTTATATGCTTAAGAAAACATACACTCAAGGGCATTATTATTATCCTCACATTTGCTTTTTAATCTTTGATGTTTATACATATGACAAATGAATTGGGGATGGGGAAGATAATATAATTCTGACCTGCCTAAGCTGACAATTTTTTGTACTTCTTAGAACTTCAATTTAAAATATGGAAGGGGGGTCCTATTGTGTTTAGAAAAAGTCGACATCTTTTAACTGATTTTGTATAAATAAATATAGGTAAAATCCTGAGAGACTTCATAAATTGGATTAAATATCTTTCATAGCTGTTGTCTTTTAAAGCCCTGTGCGATGTACATTTATCTAAGAGCAAATATTATAAAAAGATGAATATTGCTTGTCATTCTCAGATCAGTGAACATGAAACATTGGATCGTCTGTGTGGTGTTGAGTAAAAAGTCTCTGCTTTACAGTCGCGAAGTATGTGGATAATCCTTACAAAATCGCAGTTTTATTCGAAAACCCTTCTTTTTGGTCAGGCCTATAAACTAGGATCCCATGTCGCATTAGGTGACAGCACAGAAAATATCAATCACTGTTCAAAAACTGTAAGTTTATAAAACAGGCCTAAATTTGCAAGTTTCCGCCGAAAATTAGTGGCTTCTCAATTTGGAGGTTTAACAAGCAAAGAGGCAAAAATGAGGAATTTGTTAAAGGCACATGTTAAAATACAATGCATGCCGATATATATAATTTGATATTATCCATATTTATGAAGTAATACAATTAAGACTAAATATAACTGCTATTTTTTGCACTCATCTCGGTTGTTTAAAGCATATTGTGTTCCACCTCTGTATTCACTTGCCCTTGATTGTCTCGTCTTAAAAAAAAGAAATGATAAAAACTACTGAATATATAAAATAATTTGATGAAAAAAGAACGTGTTTACTTGATTTTATATAATATATAAAAGCACTTAGTTATCTTATATCAATTTATTCGATAAAAGCAGAAAAGCAGGCTTTTTGTCGCATTATTTTACTCACAACATTACAACTACAATATTAAATACATTTGAGATAGAGAGAGAGAGAGAGACAAAGATTGGGAGAGAGGGTCATAAATATAATAAATTATACATCAAAAGCCAGTACCTGTGATCCTGTCGTCGTTTGTAAAAAAATATAGAGAGTGAAATGCAGACAACCAGAACAAATGTAAGTGTTATTAAAATTATCGCAACATCTTCATTGTAAACAGAACCTTCTTCCTCTATCTTAATAGTCTTTGCCTTTCTAAAATGAATAAGTGATAACATTAATATAACAATTTAATTGCTACAATTCTTCCTTTTTTAATCATGAACATGTCTTTTCTAAAAACAAAAACCCAAACAAAAAAGAAATCATTCTTTAGTTCAAGTGGGAAAATTTGTAAATGGAATGTCTAGAGAAAAAGAACAATATTCATGGTCAAATGTCCAATAGATAATACACATTTTTAAAATGAAACATGAAAAATGTACTTTTATGTTAGTTGCAACTGCATACTATTTGTTTGATGTTTCAAAATTGAATAATTGATGCTTATTATATTGAAAAAAAGTTTTTTAAAAGATGTTCTTTTGTAAAATGTCTTCCAGGTAAAATTATGTGTAAATAATACTTATTTAAAGTTAGCAACAACATAAAATCTTATTCTTCTCTACCTTCTTGTGAGCAAATCAACAATTTAGATTAAATTGCATTTTCATTTGAATGATTAAGGAGGCTAGGGGTCAATTAATTATTTTCTTATTAACCACCAGATTTAACATAAATTTTGGGGTATGATATCTTAAGGTGTCAACCATCATTTGGAAAAGAAATATTTCATAAATTTTAGCTTGAAAATTTGATCATTTTATTATATCTCTATATGGAGCTCTTCTTCTAATGGAGATCAAAATAGTCTATAAATGGCCACGACCACCCAGCCTCTTAAAATTGAATAATTTTGGAAAAGAATTAGAAAGATGGAATGATTTATATCTAAAGTATTTTCCGAAGTTCTCATTTACCTGTTTTCCTGCATATTTGTTTCAACGAAAAAGTTCCCTTTTGTCTGATTATGTCCTTGAATATAAGGCGGTAAAGCTGTTTTGTTTACCACTCTGCACTGTTCATCTAAAAAACAGAAGGATATCATTTATAAATAAATTAAAGAAATATCATTTTCATGATATTTCAACAACTTTTTATCATGGAAAAAATGTCTTTTGATTGATTGATCAATTGATTGATTGTATGTTGTTATTGTCCCTCTCGAGAATTTTTCAGTCATAAGGTATCGCCTTTGCTATACCCTCCGTATAAGTGGAAATTCTAGCGAAATGCAAATTTCGCAATTTCTGCTTAAGAACGGGTATTTTATTTTCGGCGAGAAGTCATTTTAGCGATTTCAAAATGCTAACTAAAGAACTATTACAAATTATACGCAATTAAATTTTAGCGATATTCAATTTTAGCGATGTCAGCACTCTCGCTCATAATGCCAAGATTAAATCCTCGCTAAAAATTTTAACTTATACGGTATTTACTTGTCGGTTGAGAGCTGCAAGTATTGTCCTATGCTCGCTACACAGGCTCATTGAGTAATGAGGGGTCTTTTAGTACTAGCACTTACACTAGTATTCGTGAAGTAGTCGTGAAGGAAGGAGCTGATCCTTACTTCAAGGGTACGAATCCTACTGTGGGACGTGGAGCACAGTCCTTCCGATGTGACCGTATAAACCGATGTCCCGGTATCGCAGTACAAGTTTTTAAGGCATTTTTATATTTATAAAGCTTTATGAACTTATCTTACACTCATGGATATTAGATTTGTATCTGCATCCTTTTTGTATTTGAAAGGGTCTATCAACACTCTCTTGCACTATCCCTGCTCCAGTATTATATTCCGCACAATGACCTGAAAAAGTGTTTATGATTTTTAATGTTTACATAATAAATACTTAATACATTTAATATACTCGAAAATCAGAAGTAATAAAATTCATATTAAGGTAAAATTAATATTAATTACAATTAATAAACCAAACTTCTGCACAAACTTCGACTGTTGCATTTCCCCATTCGTTTAGAAGGCAGTGATATTTAAATTTCGTTTCGCTAGTACATTCCTGGGTGACTGTTTGACACCGTTTTGCTTCTTCTCTTTCCTTCCATTCAATTTCAGTTCGGGGACATTTGTTCACAACTGTCATTGTAGAAATTGAAGCCGAACAATTTGTTCTTTCAGAGCGTACTGTTCCTAATAGACACAACTCCTATAAAACCAAAAATGCTCCACTTAACTTATATGCCAAAGCAAACATTTTTTTCTTCAAAATAAAATGTTTATTTATGGTATGTTTCGATAATTCATTAATCTACCAACATTTTATAATCAAATCTTCTACATAATTATGGGAATTGGGAATTGATCCCCATAATAATCAGAACGCTTTATATACGATCAAAGAAAGGAAAAATGCATTAAAATTTGAAATTTGGAAATAGAATGTACTATATAAATACACAGTATTTTATTTAAAAAAAGGAGGAAGGGTCGTATAAGTAAAATCACACCCATACGTACAAATATAAGAATGGTACGACAAAATCCAATTTTCTTTCTTTGCTTGGAGCCTTCAAAAAAAGCATAAAACATTATATGGTACTATATGGTTATATTATGTATTTGTAAAACATTTCATTTATAACCGAAACACATTGTATTAAACAACAGGTTAATTGAAAGCTTAAACACGTTAGAAAACTTTAGATATTTTTTTCAACAAGTATATATTACCTTTCAAGAAAAATCCTCTTGACATAAAGAAGAAGGGGATTAAAATTTGAACCATATCAAGCAGTTGTTTTGCAAACCATTGACACGTATAGCATCCAAAGTCAATTCTGAAAATTCAACTGTGATGTTATGAGTGAAAAAATGTGTTGCGAAGGAAGCTGTGGAAAATCAAAACCACTTTATACATGTATTTAAGTGTGCAAGTGTGCAACATGAATGGAATATTCACTGAAGTGAGTAATACTGGAGGTCTTGATGTAAACGGAAAAATATAATTTTTGTATTTTATAATGTTAGACATGAAACCATTATTTTTCATAATTGACTGCTGTTTTGTGGCTTTTTACTGGTTTTGGCAACGCACATGAAAAAAATTACGTACATTGAAAAAATTTCAAATTGCTTTAAAATTGGGAGAAAATCAACGCACTTTGAAAAAGAAAATTCGATATGCCTTAAATTTGGGACACACTCAACGCACTTTGAAAAAAATTTCAAAGTGCGTTAAGAATGTGCATAAACATTTTTACCAATAGGACATTTAACGCACTTTGAAAAAAATATGTATCAAATAATGAATTCTAGACTTTAATTTTAGTAATGAAGAGAATTAATTTGTAATAATTATATCTTTCGAAACAATTTTTAATCCAATGTATTTTCTTAACTTCATTGGGAAGAGAAGACGACTGAGAGTAGAAGGTCTCTCAACCCACTTTTTTTATATACATTGTGCATAGCCGTCGGTAGCAAATTGAAAACTCCATCCAAGGTTAGCCCAAATTTTCAGTACGTGTATTATGTATATATTTGCAAGGCATTTGTGTGCCTACCCCCCCCCCCCCCTTCGTTGACAATGCCTATGCTTCACCCATATATATGTATTTATTTAACTGGTATGACGTTGAAAACTTTCAATAAATTTAAGTTGACATAGAATGCATGTAAACTGGAAAAAATAAGTACAGTAGAACATTTAAGTGAGAAAGAATTTTCAAAGTATGGAAAAATCAAAATCGCCCACTTTCACATCCTGAAGTGACCTTATCACCGAAAAGTCATCTTACAGGTTCAATCATTTATCATACCTAAGATTTACATACATATTTTTTCAAAGTGCGTTAATATGGTCGATACAAGTTGCTGTCCTTTAAAAAAGGACTACAATACGTGGACCATATGCATGTGTTTCTAATCGAAATTCAATACAAGACAATTTCTAGGTTAAGTGAATATTCATGTAGGTTCCTTCACATTTTCTATTATGATCTGCCTACTTTGACTGATAGTACTTTCATAGCAAAATTGTTAAATGTCATCTCCGATTGGCCTAGTATATAGTTTTGTCATTTAAAAAAAAATGGGCTATATTTATATATGTAACCCATAATGACTGGGACTTTACATCTGTTCTGATTTATACGAAAGAAATCTATACTTGCAAAAATATATCTGATGATAACGTGTAGCACAGTTCTGTAGTACGCAAATTTTTTTCAGAGCCCCCCCCTCCTCCACATGGAAAACGGTTGCTACAGGCCTGTATCAAGCTGTATTTGGAATGCTCTATATTAAATTATTTTTTCGAGGCTTGATGCACAAAAAAATGCCGATGAAGACTTATTCTATCTTTTAAAATCGATAACTATTCGTTTTTAATTAAAGTTGTTATTCTATATTCTACAAGTTCTTCCTACTTTTTAAAATGCATTTGCCATAGAATCAATGTTTAGTTTGTTTATAAATGTATATACACTGTATGCATAAGAAAGAAATAAGGATTCGCCAATAAATTAATAAATACGATATACAGATTTAAAAGCAAGATTTGCCGATGAACATGGTATATTCTACTTCGAATAAGGAAAATTATTCTACGGATAAGCTGTCTTAGTGGGGCGAACTCTCCCGATCGCAAATTCTTGGGCTTTTTCGACTGGCGGAAGTTGTTTTTCCGACCTCTGACGGAAAGACCCGAGATAAACGATTGCGAACTCTCAAGCATTCTCGCGCATGCGTATCCTGACGTATGCCCATGGCATCCGGTTTAACTTCGCTTATATATTTACTGCGTGGACCTAATGGTCCACGCAATTAACGCACCTTGAAAAGAAATTTTATTTTTTCAAAGTTCGTAAACGTTGAGTTGGTCCAAAATTTAACGCTCTTTGAAAAAAATTTTCAAAGTGCGTAATTTTTCAAAGTGCGTTTTAACACTGGCTATTTACATTTACATTACACTAGAAAACTAATCTCTGACCGATGTTCATGTCTGCATATACAATGTACGTAGTTACAGTCAATGTTTTACCTGGAGATACTTATCTTTCTTGAAACTGTAGGAAATACCCCATTCATACATCCTAGATATTTGAAATAAATGGTAGTCATATACAATTAATACAAAATTAGTTGAAGAAAAAATCTAATCAATCTATAGACTAACAATATTCTATAAAACGTTATTGATACGATAAAGATTAACCTTTGCATAATGGAACGAACGACACTCTTCGTATTCTATTGTTATAGCAACCATTCAGGTTTCCTAAAAAAAGAATGTACATCTTACAAAAGTCTAAAAGCTATGTATACATAAAATTTGTCAAGTTGTGTCAAGGCAGGTATGTTAAGGAAGCATAAAACTCATTTCTCAGGACATTCAGACTTTTAAAAGAAAATTAAGTTCGAAAATTTTCCAAAACTGTGTACTAGAATCCCACTGTTCCGTCAGTTAAATAAATATTCCACAATTTCACACGAAACCCTACCCGATGATCTGAATTTGATACATATAAACCGAGATTTCTCGTAAAACTCTGCTTAACTCTGGATTCTAGCAGCCATTTACAAGTATTTTAGAAGGCAAGCTTAAGAATGCTACACTCTGGTTTCAGTAATATTCGTTGAGCACCAATTTTCGATGATTTCGTTGTTGAGCAGCTCCACGAATTAAAATGCTCATGGAATAAAGAATTTCTTATTAATTTGTATAAGCAATGCTTGTGTCCACGAATTTATGTATTCTCGGAAACGTCTGTTTTACAAAATCCAAGAAAATTGATGCCAAAGAAAATTATTGAATCCACACTAAATCTTATATTTTGATGTATGCAGCTAATTACTCTTCTGTTGCATTATTGTTGTCACAAGTGACAGAGGAAAGGCCGACCGGGATATGTATAAAGCTGACTATCTTCGAAAGAGAATCGATGAAAATATATTAGCATACCTGTTTAATTAACTGAACTATATATAAATATCGCATAATATTTGCAATATTTGCTTTTAAAATCTATTTTGCGTATCCTTGTACTTGCCGTCTTAGCCTTATTCTCTTTGCATGACATGATCAATTCTCTAGTAACTTGATGTACACATATGACGTCATCTGTTGTCGATTGTCATCAAAATGATAGATACAGCATAACAAATTATAAGCATTTTTGTTAATGTTTACACGTTTCTTATCATTTTCTAGAGTTAAATCACATCTCTAAATACCAATATTACGGAATCTTTTGTTCTAAAATTGACGTCATTTCGCCTACCATAACGTCATGATGTATCATTGATTTAGTCAAAGTAGAATATGTTTCCTTAATACCACTGCAAAACACAAGGTATAACAACTAGAAATTTGTAGTTAGATAGATCACACAATTCATGTATGAAATAAATTCTTAAGCAATACTGATACTCGTACCAATACACAGTATGTTACACGTCCTAAACTTGTAGCTACACGTCATGATGTCAAGATGTCGAAGAACACAAAAATTAATAACGTCACCCGTACAATTTCATCGAATGACGTGAACTTAATCCTCTCTATATTCTTTTCCATAAATTATCTAAAATTACATATATTTTTTTTTGTTTTTATATAATTTTATGTGATTGACAATCATAGTTGCTCACTTAATAGAGCGCGTGACCGTGATCTAGAGGTCATGGATTCAAATTCAAAAAAGAAAAAAAAATTAAACTAGGTTTATAAACAATAAGTACATGCAATAACTGTCCCTAAGGACTAAGGATCAGCAGACTGAAGTGAAAGTTGAGGAGGTTATGGATGAATCTTTATAAATCTTGACACGGTTTGTGTTTGCACTGTTAAAATTTTCAACCCTAAATGAATCTAACGTCCGTTTAAGCCCCTTCACCAGTGAAAATTGACCGGATTTCTCTCTATGAGCAAAATATTCTCCAACGGGAAATGAAGACCCATACGAAAAACTAATCCGTTTTCATTTTCAAAAATATAATATTTGTAAGTAAATGTGCAAAATATCATAGTTACCCTTCCCAGTATTTTGAAATGGTGAATTCTCATTAAGCTTTATGTTACCAAGTTCCATAAGGTTTGTGAAGAGAGGTATCAAATGTCTACTTTCCATTCCATCTTTGCCGCAAGCCCCTTCCTCAAAAATGTATCTGTCTAAAATAAAAATCATAAAATGATATCCCAGTATGGTCTTGCGTGGATACATTTGAGAGTCTTATCCTACAGAAATATTTCACATATTTAAAAATAAAATATACAGTGGGTATTAAAGATCATCTTTAATTCTCTAAATATTCTTACAAGGAAGCAAAACAGAAAAAACGACTTCATTGTTTTTTTTTAACCATAAACACTTTGGGAGGAAAAAAGGGTAGGAAAACCTTAATGCAAATGAAATGAAAACCTGATTTTCAAAACACAGGACGGTAGAGGCTTCCCAAAAAATATCTTAGTTAACTTTGAGCCTTTAGTTCTTTGAACTACCAATGCATTGGTTCACAAAATTACGTTAAATCTTAACATTCGATAGCTTTTGCAAGTATTTACTTAATTTGAGATTATTAATTAAAGCTGATCTGCAAATTCTTAAAAGGAGTTTGTTCTTTAACTGTTTGTTTTGGGGAAAAAATTGATGGTTTTGTTTTCATTGAAATTAAGATATTGTGTGAAAATATCCTTATACTCTTAGTATATATTAAACTTTGATATGTTGCCTAAAAGATATCTTGACTTTCCTAAAACATATTTTTGGTAAATGTACACAAGAATACATTTTGAATTGACTTGCAAAGAATATGCTGAATATACATATTTCGTGCCTGTATCATACACGAGTAACACTCAAGGTAGCTCAATCTGTAGAGCCCTGATCCTAAGGTCATGCGATCAAATTCTTAACCTAACTGACCTAAGGCGATAAACAATACGTGTAGGTAGAAAATGTAGGAACGCAAAGCGCTCAACATTTGAAATGAAAAGAAATAAATGTAAGTATCAATATAGATGCACAAACCTTTTCCTATATCGTGTAGAGAAGAATTTCTTCTAAGTTCTTTGCTGTCAGGTACTATAACGTTTGTTTGAGGAGGCATCAAATGTTTACTTTCCACTTCATCTTTGCTGCAAACCACTTCTTCAGGAGTGCATCTATCTACAATTATATCATAAAATGATAGTCCAGAATGATTCACTGTAGAATTCAATCGACCCATTCCAAATTCTTGCATTATATATATATATATATATATATATATATATATATATATATATATATATATATATATATATATATATATATATATATATATATAATATATATATATATATATATATATATCTTAACACTAACTCTGGCGTTTGATGTCTACTTCATTTATATCAAACCGGTCACGGTAGCCTAGTGGTAGAGCGTTCCTTTCGTGATCGGGAGGCCGATTCTTGATCGCGGCGCCGCGTCATACCTAAGACGTAAACATAGGTAGTGACTGTTCCTTCGCAAAGCGCTCGGCACTAGAAGTGAAAGTCACGGGTCTTTCGGATATGACCTTAAAAACGTAGGTCCCGTGTCACGGTAGGCGTTAGCACGATAAAGAACCCTCACTGCTCAATGGCCCTGAGTGCCGAGTATAGGTCTAAATTTGAGGCCCTTCACCGGCATCGGTGACGTCTCCATATGAGTGAAAAATTCTCAAGAGGGACGTTAAACAATATACAATCAATCAATCAATCATTTATATCAAAAAACTTAATGAAACAAGTGGCCCATGTGCCATATTGCTAACCTAAGAAGCTTTGGCCATTCTGTTCTTTACTAGATTTCCCCCTTGTACATGTAATACATAATGAATCCCTACCCTAGCCCACTGATCATACTTAAACATTTTGAAATCTACACTACCCCAGGATCCTTCAATGTGCACATAAGCTTTTCTGGCCCAGTGGTTCTTGAGAAGAAGATTTTCAAAGATTTTTCCTATATATTTCTATGTAAAACTTTGATTACCAATTATGGCCCCGTCCTTCCCCGGAGGTCATGATTTTTACAATTTAGAATTTACTCTATCCCAGGATGCTTCCACATAAATTTCAGCTTTTCTGGGCCAGTGGTTTTTGAGAAGATTTTCAAAAATTTTCCCTGTATATTTCTATGTAAAACTTTGATTCCCATTGTGGTCCCGGCCTTTATGTCATGATACCAGGATGCTTCTACATAAGTTTCAGTTTCTGGCCCAATGGTTCTTGCGAAGAAGATTTTTAAAGATTTTTCCTATATAGTTCTATGTAAAATTTTCATTCCCCATTGTGGTCCCGCCCTTCCCCAGGGGGTCATTATTTGAACAATCTAGAATTTACATTACCCCAGAATGCTTCCACGTAAGTTTCAACTTTTCTGGCCCAGTGGTTATTGAGAAGAAAATTTTCAAAAGTTTTTCCTATATATTTCTAAGTAAAACTTTGATTCCCCATTGTAGCCCTGCCCTTCCCCCGGGGGTCATGATTTGAATTATTTAGAATCTACACTATACCAGGATGTTTTCACATAAGTTTCAGCTTTTCTGGCCCGGTGGTTCCTGAGGAGAAGATTTTTTTAACGACCCCACCCTATTTTTGTTTTTTTCTTGACTATCTCCCTTTGTGAGGGGACTTGGCCCTTTAGTTTAACAATTGTCATTTCCCTTCACCCAAGGATGCTTTGTACCAAATTTGGTCAAAATTGACCCATTGGGTCTTGAGAAGAAGTCGAAAATGTGAAAAGTTTACAGACGGACAGACAGACGGATAGACGGACGGACGGACGACCGACAAAATGTGATCAGAAAAGCTCACTTGAGCCTTCAGCTCAGGTGAGCTAAATATGTGACAAAAGAAAATTCTCCAAAGATGAAAACGTAAAATGCTTTTATTTTTTATGCGTTTCTGAGTAATTAGTTGATTCCTTCGTACTATAGAATAACATTCCAACCAGATTGCCTCCCTTCGTCACTATTCAAATCCCACTGTTGGGTCTGGAGACCATAACCTTGGATGAGATCGTATAGAACGAGGTCATAGTAGGTGCTAGCAAGAAAAAGACAGTAAGTGTCCAATACCAGAGGAAAATGCAGCCCTCCACCGGCAGTTTGGGGCGTATCAATATAAGTGAAAAAATCCTGAAGGTACGTTAATCAGTCAAACAATCAAGCACATGTTGTAAACAGAAATATTGGATGTAAATTATATTCATGACCTTTTTGAATAAGGTTTAATTAAAAAAAGACCAATAAACTGTAGTTGAAAAAAAAATAGAACTTCTTACAACATATATGCTTAGGTGACAATAGAAAAGACAATTTAATTCAAAAGCTTATAAGAATTTATACAAGCAAAATTTCTTTTGAACAAAGAGAGTATTACTACAACTTGTAAAAACTCTTGAATACAAAATCACAAGAAATTGTATATGTTTTCTGCTTAAAAATGGTTACATGGGTATAAATGCATAAACCTTGATTGAGTTTTTCTCCGACTTGAATATGTAACGAAAAATGCCTTTTTGAATGTTATTTTACATCAGTTTTTCAACTTATGAATTCAAATTGATTTGCATTGAAAATAACTGGAAATTAATGTAAACAAACATTTTCTTTGCTTTTTATCCAAAATGGAGAAATACAATATTTATTTTACGGTATTCAATGTATAATGATTGTAAACAAAATTCAAGCGACTTTTGACATTTAGGGAGACGGTCATTATAACCGTTAAAAAATATTTGAAGAGCATTCTAGATCTGCCCTTAATGAAAAGAAGAAATTTTCAAATTTTCAAAATTTACGTGGTAAATAATTTATTCTTTTTTTTTTTTTAAGTGTTTTAAAAAAGGAGTTTTTGTACATATTCAAGAAGAGATTTGTTTGAAATTCAGATTGCTTTTTTTTTTATACAATTCTATTAAAACATGCACTGCCTATAGACTGCAATGTACAATTCAAGGTGCAATTAATTGGACAATAATCAAACTAGCAAGTTTTAGAACAATAATTTTTGGATCATTAATTTAGTGTAGCACGAACCCGATCTTAAATCTTAAACTATATTATGAAAAATTAAAAATGAAATAATTCCGTCAAAAATCAATGAGACGCAACAACATTCACACGTGATCTGTAACCTATCAAAGTACACTCACATACCAAAAAATCAGCTCAATATCTGCAATGTTTAAGAAACAAATGAGGAAAAACAAGTTGAACAGACTGACAGCGGGAAAGACAGACAGACGGACGGACAAACGCAGAGGAAACCTATAATTCCCTGGTTTCATCGGTAGGTGACTAACGCTGTTATTTATGTATCTGCTTTCAAGAAGAATTGAGAAGTAAAAATAAAAACAAAGTGTCTGTTGTTTCAGTTAGTTGAGGAATAATCACTTGAATTGCACTACAATTTTAGTGTGTTTATTTAACGTTCATCATAACAAAAGCAAAAAGTTTAAAAAAAAAACTAATCTGAATCGATAAAATTGAAAGAAAGATGATTGTATAAAAAAGTGAAAAAAAAATCTTATTTAATTATACTGAAAATATCATTATAATGAATGAATTTTTCTGAACATTAATAAAAGTGATTTCGTCACCCAACTTGAAATGTTTAAAAGAACGTGTGCGCTCATAACCGTAGAAATATACTTATTCTGCTTTAAAAAGAAAAATTGTAGATTACTAATTGGATAACAGCTAATCACACGACACCCTGAAATTTTCCGTATCCCGTCACCGTCGAGGGGGTAATTTGAAAATCGGGCACGCGATTCCGTTCGAGGAGTTGTTATTGTAAATGAAAACGGCCCCTAAAAACAGTTTGCATACGTAAAAGTAGTTTAGTCAAATTTATTGTTACGATATTTTATGTTGATTGTTCTTTGATTAAAACTGATATATTCATGATATATACACATAGATTTTATAAATATTTTTTTTAAAAAAAGGTCTTCAGCGGGATAAATCGCCCAATACGGATTTTCATTTTACACCCTGTATGACTCCGTATTAGGTCGCTAACTGACTGTTTAACTAATAATCTGAAACACAGACAGATTCTGTAATTGAGAAATCTATATGGAGAATTTTTTTGTTTTTGTTTCCCCCAAAAATTTAATTAAAAAAATCACATAACGATAGTAGTATTTTCCTACTTGATAGCAGAAAAGAAAATTAAAAGTTGCACTTCTAAATTTATTGTACGCACATAAACTTGACTCTAATTATTAATACTTTTTATTAATATAACTTTTAAAAGTTTGAAACTGTACATTTATTTCATTAATTATTCTACATTAACATGCTTTTTCCTGTCTGAACTTTTTTTTCAGAAATTTAGAATTGATGGTTTTTGGCAATTCTACATTATTTTCTGTTGCACCCCTGACATGGAATTTTATTAACAGCAGCTATGACCAAAAATTGATAAAACAAAAAATACTACAGCCCACATTTAAAGTTGCCTACCTTAAAACTTATTAGGAAAGTCTTCATTTACAACACAAACCATTATTATTTATTTCAAAGATCTAAAAAAATCTTCAAATTTCAATACATTTGAAAAATTTAATCATCAGTTTTGGGCATAAGTTTATTTTTTTGCTAATTGAGATATTATCAACATATTTGTCAGGCATTTAGACACTATCCAGAAACGCATGATAAGACATAGACATATATTTTTATTGCCTGTAGTTAAGTATGGCATGATAAATATGTGTATTATTTTTCATTCACGTATAAACAAAAAGGGACTCTAAAAATAATGATAACAAGAACAACACAAATCAAACAAAAACAAATCAAACAATCCAGTCTTTTCTGTAGCGTCCAAGAAAAAAAGGACAAAATCAATCAACCAATACATGCAACAAATCAACCTCAGGAACTTCCAAAGAAAAATGTCTATATAAATCTTACTCTCTGCAGATTTTTCCTGAGAAATATAATTTGAATAATTTATTTAGTTTAATGTTATTATACATATATACACACTATTTATCTAGCTGTGTGGTTTACAGTTAAGGTGATATGTATAACACCCAACTTCATGTAGATGTACATACCTTTGTTTATATTCTGTTCAGTAAAGTTCCCGTCAAAGTCATAATTGCTGAGTTCTAGAACATTTTTGTATTGACTCAGAGTTTCCTCAACATCCATGCCGACAATATTGCATACTCCTTTGCCCGAGGTGTATGATTCTATATAATGTTAAGAAGAATTTTTGTTTCGAACGAGAACTACATTGTATGGGAGGTTTGGATTTAAAATTTTGTTATCATTATTACTTTTGTAAAAATCATCATTATTGACCTAGGGGCCCTCTTAATAATCTTGAATTACATGTACTTTTCAAATAGGTTCATATAAAGTTCGCATATATAAAATATTTTTTGGCTTATCGAAATTATTCCATGTTATTTTATATTATGGGCAGTATTTGTCTCCCCAAAAATCTGAAAGGCTACAGCTTTGAATCCGCATGAACTTTAACCTCGTTTGGAAATGATATTTTAGACAATTTAATTTCTTGCTTGGATTTAAGTATGACCATTTATATCAGTTGTTTATGATTTAATGACACCTGGCTTCTTTAGAATTCAAAGAAAGGTATATCATTACTTTTCAACTATTTCAAAATCATACCTGTTTATACAAGCTTCCTTTAAATTAATTTCATTTTAATCATGATAGTGCAAATATACAGTTAGGAAAGATGTTTCTGCAAATGGACTTTAAATTTGCGAAAAGCACCGACTTTTGCACTTGACTGCTTATCTGGACATTGGCACATGCGTTATGTACGGAGGTAAGGAGTTGATAACAGATCGGAAAACCATACTAGTGGACATGTTTAGGTGTTAGGGACACTTTGCTTTGCTTTGATATGTAAGTTATTATTGTTTAATTGACTGTTATGCTAAATATCTATACAGCAAAAGGCATGCAGAAAATAGCCCTGTGTAAAGGTAAGTCGTCAATTGTAAAACAATCAGAGCCTCTCGCAAAAGTCCATTATAAACTAATCTAACAAATTCATAAATATCAATCTATAGATTTGATTTACCAATTCTGCATCTCTGGAGATGTCCATTTTCGGGAATAGAGCATACTGTCTGATTGAAGTATGTAGAAGAACCACTTGTCTCTATCTTTAAAATATAAATGTTACAGTTGTATATTTGCTATTATACAGTTTCTTGTCGAGACTTGTAATTAAGGCAAATTAAAGAACGAATTCTCATGTGATCATATGAATAATCTTTGGGGTTTTGTCGTACGGAAAAATGCTATACATTTTGCTTTTGAAATAGTGCTTTATAATTGTATTTCAAATGATAAATTTGTGTTCGATGCCTTATATAACGAACAAGAAAAGGAGGAAACCTCAATTTATTTTGGAGTGGGAAAATATCAAGCTTGATTGTTGTCAACATGATTAAAATATTTTTAAAAGTACTTCTACTATAAATGGTCTATTTGAAAAGGTCAAGGATAATACATTTTTGGATTGTTCGACAAAAAAATACATGCTTTATTTCCCTCCACAGTGGATATTGCGAGTAATAAATCACATTAAATGAAAGATTAAACTGCTCAATTACCTCGTTTGTGCATTAAAATTTTATTTGCTAAGAAAGGAATTGATGCAAGTAACATTGATAATATTCTAAAGAAATAAGCCCGTTGAGCCCAGTTCTGAGAAAGAAATATTTTTTATTGCGTTTAATCGCAAAAATTTGCCTTTAATTGCAATAATTATTGCTTTTAAACGCAAAACACTTTTCGTTTAATTGCAAAAGATTGCAATTAAACGCAAAATTATTGCATTTAAAAACAATACTATTTTTGCATTTAATCGAAATAATTTTTCCTCTGTGATTGATGACAACGAGACCACAGACCCTTATCATGTGTTGATTGGTGTAAAACAAGAATGCTGCATGTTAGGCTTTTTGTTCCTCCTAGTGAAAGATATGGTTATGCAACGGACTGTCAGAGGAAAGAGAACAGGAATTAGCTGGGACTTCACCACTATTCTTGAAGACCTCGACTTTGCGGACGACATTACCCTATTATCAGCAGCAATGGACCATCTTCAGTCTAAAACATCAAAACTGGAAGAAAACTCTGCAAAAGTTGGGTTGAAGCTGAATGCCAAGACGTGCAATGTGATGAAGATTAATAGCAAGAGTGAAAGCAGCCTGAGAGTTGGAAACGGCAATGCCGACGAGGTGAACAGCTTCACATACCTCGGCGCCAATGTCACCAAGGATGGAGGAGGAACTGCTGACATCAGGAAAAGGATAGCACTGGCCGGTGCATCCTTCAGGAGGCTAGTCAACATCTGGAATGCCACAGACATCAGCAGAAAGATAAAAATCTCCCTCTTTAAGAGCTTGGTCCTCTCTGTCTTTTCATACGGATGAGAGAGCTAGAAGCTAACCAAGACAGAGGAAAAGAAGATTGACGTCTCTCAGACCAAGTGTCTCAAAAGGATCCTTAAGGTCAGATGACAGCAGCACATACCAAAAAAGAAAGTTCTGTAGATGGCAGAATTAGAGAGCATTAGTGTCGAGGAGAGGAGGAAGAGATGGAATTGGATTGGTTATGTGCTTAGAAAAGATCCCATGAATAACTGTGTTGTGTCCCCGGGTGGACACCTGAAGGGAGAAGGAAGCGAGGTTGTCCCAAAACAACATGGCGACTGATGGTGGATGTAGAGAGAAACAATGGTGGCTGGAAATCCTGGAACACGGCACGCCGTGCAGCCTCAGACCGTCCACAGTGGAAAAGAGATGCCCAAGCCTTTTGTGCCTCATGGCACGGAAAGAATTAAGGTTAAGGTAAGGTACTGTTGGAAATGGTAGCCATATTTAATTTCCATCACTTACGCGGGATTTCATCTTATATAGTTAAAAATGCGCTATTTAATTTTCCGCTTTTGAAAAAGTGCCAAATTTTGGGAAGATTAATATACAGTACCAACCGAACACAACAGTAAGCAAACCCGGAGCGCACCCCGGGTATGCTCTCTGGGTCCGCCTCGGGTTCACTCGAGGTCCGCTAGGGTTGACCCCGAGCGAACCCGGAGCGCACCCAAAGCGAACTCGTAGCGGACCAGGAGCGAACCCGAAGAGGACACAGAAAGCGAACCCCAAATTCAGTAGCGGTCCCAAAGAGGGAAAGCGCGTTCGGTATTTCTTTGCAGAGCTGGCAATCAGGTTTAGCGATTAACTAATCAGTGAGTCGAGCAATCAAAATGTCATATTGATTATTCGATTGGGATCAAAAAAAGAACGTGTTGATTAAATTCGATTAACATTGTAAATAGAAGCAAAACGTGTGAATATACAGTGTAAATCTATTATGATAATTAAGATATTATTTATATTTATTTAGTTTTATTCTTCGGGTAGTATGTTATATTTATTAATCAATTATATATATATATATATATATATTTAAATAAAGCAATAAATTATACACTTAAATTTTCAACGTAAAATGTAACATTAATATTTAACAATTTATTTTCTTTCTTTCTTTTTTATACTAGTAATTAAATGCCATTTGTTATTAAAGTGCATGGGTAGATACATCTGTCAATGCGTAAAAAAGGAAATCAATAATTGGATTACAATTTTACTGAAGAAAGAAGAGAGAAGAAAAATAACTGATCTTTGACAATTATTATAAAATTTCATCTTCTTGAGATACTAAAAGTACCACAATATATTACTGTTTATCATTCAATTATTCTATTTCCGTTATCTTAATTTACATGTTCCTTTAAATTACTGTATTCAAAGATCACATCAAAATTGTTATAAAAAAACAATTTTAAATTTCATTAATGTGTGTATGTGAAGTGGGGGTGGGTGGGTATATTAATATATTCTTATCGGGCCGGGAGAAATATTATTATTTTTTCATATTATTTTTTTTCATTCTGATTAAAATCAAAATCGCTCCAAAATTCTGAGCATGATCAAGATCTAATTTAGTTTTATTTATTGTTTTGCTTTATTTTTAGAAAATGTCATGTAAATATTTATAACGATCTTTTAATGTGTAACTACTATGAATGAAATCTAAATATATCACGTATATGTATGTGCAAAAGAGTAATTTATAGATAGATAATTCACATAATTCACTTGTTTGGCAGGCATTTAAACTATGATTTAGCAAAACAAAAGGAATAAGTTAATTATCTTAATTTTAAACTATATAATGCATGAATTTAAAAGATATTTTATTTAGATGTTTTCGTCAGTTTCACTTATAAACCATTCGATACATAGATAATCGATTCAACAACTTTTTTTCCTCTTCTGTTTTTGTTTTCACGTTATAAAAATAAATGCCTGATGACCCGCTGTTAAATAACTTGGAATTTCTCGGAATTAAAATTCCGAGATCGGAGAAATCAATGAAATCATCTCTGTCGAATTCACAGTTGAAGTTTGAAAAAAAATTATCAATGTTCTCCATAGTGTCATTGTTTACATGTACAGTGTACATGTATCGATCGCCGCATAAACAACAATGATCGATTCCACAATGCCATTACTGTATTTGGAATATACAAGGGGCGGGGCTTACTGGCGGCGAGATTAAAGCGGGATCCGCTTCATACATCAATGCGTAAAGCGGTCCCAGATAGTAAACCCTTGGTCCGCTTCGGGTTCGCTCTGGTGTTAGGTTGTGTCCGGTCGGTACTGTATTGCCAAATTCGATTGAAAGCAAAAGATAGATGATTAGGTCACACATTTAAGCTTTAAGCTGTCTAAAATACCAAACAAAGATTCAGCTTAATGGTTAAGTCGGTACTTCAGTTTCCTAAAAAAATTATTACGATACGTTGCACATAAAATAATTCTGTTTTGTGTTGCAGCATTGTACTAAATGTAAACTGTCGCGAAAAAAAAAATTCAATGTATGATCATGACAAATGTATAGATTTATCAGTCTGTTAGTAAATATTTACGTTTGTTAATCCATCAGCTTTCATGGCTTTCTCTCCAGGGAAGAAACACCGTAAAATTATTAGCGCCATAAAAGCAACAATGAAAGAAAGACTGTATCTTCTGATTTTGTTGTCCCTTTTGTTTTTGGTTGTGTCCTCTTTTGCTGAAAAATATACACGAAAAACAACTCAAAAACAAGATGTGTTTGTGAAACACTGATGCCCCCGTATGGCAACATAGCAAAGATTTAACTTGTATTAAAGGAAAATTATATATATTGGTACATAAAGCTGGGTATTTTCACTGGAAAAAAACAATTTGAAATATAAAAGTAGGCCAATGTTGAAGTTTTTTATCAGTACGGAAAATGTCAAGGTCAAGGTCATTAGTATCCAAATGAAAGGTCTTGCCACAAGTAAATACATATGTAAAGTATGGAAGCCCTAGACCTTACCTTTCAGAAGTTATAGCCAAGGTTAAAAATTCTTAAAAGTAGGTCCAACTTCAAGGTAAAAGGTCTTGCTATAAAAGAATTATCTTGTCACAAAGATTATGTATGTAAAGTAGGGATGTCAACTTTACTCGGACAGCTTAGTCGAATAGTCGGATGCTTTAGCCGAACGATAGTCGAATATTCGTTTGATTTTAATTATTTTTTTTTCATACCAGTTTCACTGTTTGTTTTTTACAGACTGGTTTACAATATTGAACCTACGCTATCACTATTACATAACGAATTTCTGAATTGTAAACATGTTCGTAGTGCAATAAAAATTGTTCATCAATAATGTATCCAATGTATTTAATTTCAAAATTAATATGTAAGCCGCGTGTTTTATCTAGATGCAGAATATCAAACACCCGTATTTGTCCTGGCATTCTTTACATAATGGTATTACATGTGCCCCATAATTGAAGCCAATTAGGCCTATTACGTGTCTGTTAAAGATCTTTCACCAGAAAAAAATTAAAACGTGTATCTTATAAAAACAGAGAGAGCGAGAGCTTGGGATAAATTTAAATTATGAAATTTTGTGCAAACAAAACACCAATGATCGTATGAAATTAATATCAGAAAAAAAAACAGGGTTAAATTACTAGTACTCTCATATTAACTGACTGCGATTAACATGCATGCATTTACAATTTTGTAATATTATAGCTGTTTGCTAGTAATTGATATTCTTTCTGAATAATTGTATCACGTCAGATCTTAGTTGAATCTACAAAAACTAAACTATTGCCCTCTCCATTTAAAACAGTTAGAGATAGACAATTATTTATAAACATGTTTGATTTTCTTTCCCATTCTGTTTTTTTTGTCATTTATGCAAAGAACTTACTATAAGAAAGTTTAACTTGAAGACTGTGTATATGTTCGGCTGATCGGCATATGTTACATCATGTTTGATGTTACACTTCAGACTACACTTCTGTTTCACAAATATTTGATAACACATTCACTGTTTACCTTTTTTCAAGCTATACTAAAACTAAATTTTGAAGACATGTTTGCCGAACATGCATCAACGTACAAATAATTTCCTTTGAACAATTATACCACACCCTTAATTTCACATATGAAAATATTGATCTGTAAATAAATGAAGTGGGCAAATATAAGTTTATTGCCTTGAATTCAAAATTACCTTGAAGAAACAACATTTTTAACGAATAATCGACTTAAGAAATTTTAGTCGATAGTCGGTATAATCGAACGATAGTCGAGTACTCGAATATTCGTTGACATCCTTAATGTAAAGTATGAAAGCAGTAGCCCAAACCCTTTAAAAGTTATGGTTAAGGTTTTATGATTAAAGTAGGTCAAACTCCAAGGTCAGAGTAAAAAGGTCAAAGTTCTTTGTATCTAATGAAGTGTCTTCTCACAAGGATTACATGAATGGAGTATGAGGTTACTCGCCCTTAGCGTTCAAAAGTTATGGCCAAGGTTAATGGTTTTTTTAAGTACAAAAATATCCTAGGTCAAGGTCAAAATGTCAAGGTAATTGGTATCCAATGAAAGGTCTTGCCAGAATATTAAAATACAAATGTACAGAATGGAGCCCTAACCCTAACCGTTCAGAAGTTTTTGCCATAGTTAGAAATATTTCAGAGAAGGTCAAACTCCAAGGTCAAAGGTTTTGCTATCAAATGAAGGTCTTGTCACAGGAATTAAATATAGAAAGTATGAAAGTACTAATCCTAACCCTCTAAGAGTTATTTTTAATGTATGCTTTTTAAAAGTTGGTCAAGGTCAAAGGGTCAAAGATCTTGATATCCAAGAAAGAGTTTTTCTCAAAAGGATTACATATGTGAAGTATAAAAGCTCTATCCCTTACCGTTCAAAATTTATGACCAAGGTTAAAGTTTTTTTTCACACGTACGAAATTTCCAAGGTCAAGAGGTCAAGGTCGTTGGTATCCAGTGAAAAAGACTTTAACATAGAACACATATGTGATATAAAAATGTCCTTGTATCAACTGTTCAAAAGATATGGCTAAATAGTTAAAGTTTGAATTTTTTGTGTAAAAGTGGGTTCATACTCCATGGTCAGGGTCAAAAGTCAAATTTGGTGGTACTCAAAGAAATGTCTTGTCACACAAAATACACATCTGAAATATGAAAGTCATAGCTCCACTAAATCAAAAATTATGGACAAGGTTAAAGTTTTTGCGGACAAAAATATAGACATACAGAGAGACAGACGGACGGACACGAAAAAACTATTTACCCCCGAAACTATGTTAACGGGGGCATAACAATCTAATTTTTTATAAACCTCCTCATTTGATTTTGATTTATTAAATTTGAAAGAATTAGCTGTTCTTATAATTTCTAATTCAAAAACATTTTAAACGGATTGCATCAAATCTCTCAATAAAGATTGCATTTAGTTTTATTTCATTGAAGATAGATTAAATCCATGTATGTATTTTTTATTTAACGTAAATATCATAATGCTAAAAATTGGAACATGCCTTATGAAACACTATGGACTTGTTACAGATATGTAAGTAGCAGCATAATAGACTATGGATAGTCCACGATCCTGATGCATTATACAGACAATTAAATAAGTTTTTAATGTGTCGTAAGACGTGTTCCGTTATTGAAAAAAATATCAATCCCTCAATTTTTAGAAATATTACATTTATAGCAAAGGTGACATTAATACCTTGATAAAAAGATGAAATACTAAACCTGTTCCTGTCGCGTTTTTGGGCTGATGTATAAATTTTTTAAATTTTGGCAATTCTCTGATTTCAGTCATTGATAAATGACTGCTAAAACGCCTTGGTTGTTGACTTGTCCAATATTTATGTTTAATTAACAATGTTGAAAATCTATAGAAAATCCCTGCTTTTTGAAATTCCAAATTTTTATATCTACCATCTCTGACAACTCTCTCTCTCTCTCTCTCTCTCTTTCTCTCTAACGCATGTGGTTTTTAGTGTGCGTATGTTCGCAAATTGAACAAGATCACGCATTACACCGATTTTACATCATTACAGTATTCTTATAAACTTTTAGAATATTATTACCTGGATGATTTTTTTTTCAAATGTAGAGATAAACAAATATTGATATATCATATGTATAACCAATTTAGATATATTACAACTTTTAATTGAAAAGTATTAGGTACAGAGACAATTTTAGTTATCTACCTAATTTAAAATAAAACCAAAACAACACTTAAAATTTTGAAAGAAAATTGCAATATAACGAAATAAAATGGGCTTCGTTTACACGCCGCAATGGTTTTGAATAAAAGCGTATGCAGAGACCACATGGTAGTTACAAAAACATTTACCAATTTTCAAAATTCTGATGATATTTTGTCAAATTTGAGATACTTGACCAACATTGAACATTACCATCATGGAAAACATTTGTTATTAGATTGTCTATCTGATATTCTCAAGCCCAAGATGTATCTGGTTCATGAAATGTATAAAGAATGTTGAGGATGATAAGCTAAATTGCACGCCAGGTATTCCATGAAGAAGGTCCTTTGACAATGATGAAATTTTCTTAAGAAAAACTGAATATAGTAACACATTTTCAAAGTTGTCTGTAACTTCTGTGTATATGCTATTACCTGCAACAAGCAGTTTTGTAAGCGGGATCTCAACAGTTGTACTTATATATGTATTGATAAAAACCAGTTTTACTATTGACCCTTTTGAGGGAAATCCCACCCCTCCTCACTCATAAACAAGGTTCAAACAGAAGTCTTGGCATAAATTCCTATATCATTCAAGTTCAAACACATTGCGTTGTATGTTTGCATATATCAATTATAGAAAATAGATTAATCATAAGTTCACATTAGGTAAAGCAGGGTTCTCCGTATGAAGTGTTTTATTCTGTTGCTCTAGACACTGTCAATTGTTCTCCTACAAAGTAACGATTCAGATTTTATGCGTGCAACACAGTAAAAATTTTGCCAACACAGTAAGATCTGTGATATTTAGAAAATCTTAACGTTTCAATTCACTCTATCTCAAACTATAATAAAAAAAAAATTCTACCGTCTTTCAATTCTGAAAGGTGGAGCGCTTAATTACTAGGGCTTCACCTTGCATAATCTATTATCTCCAAGGACTTTATGCATGAAGGAACATAGACAAATAGTTTGTGTTCACACTTCCATGTGACAGTTAATTTGTATTTGCAATAAATAAGTTGTATAATTTTTAAAATAATACTCAAATATGGCTTTAGAATTACGTTAGCACTGGAGGTCAAACTTAACACATTTTACCGAAGACATTGAATTGTTGTCTATAAATTGCTTATTATTTTCAATGTTCAAGAAACTGCCAATAATCACGGCAAATATACTTTCAAAAGAGTTAAGTTATTCAACTATATCGATCAGAATTTCCTCGCTTTACAGAACTTTTTTTTCTTTTTTCGATATGTACGACCATACCGTTTGTGTAACGAATTAGCAATTTTTAATTAAAGTATATGCATGAAGTTGCCAATTTGACTGGGAAAATACCGCGAATTTTTGTTTTTCGCGTAAACTCTGAAATATAGTAAAGAAGATGGGCGTATAAGGCGGGCAGAATGCCTATAGCGCGACAGATAACAAGTGAAAAAAATTATTCTCAATTATATCCAAATTTTATGTCATATCTCATCTTATATTAAAGTAAACTTAATGTAAAATCTCTATAATATACAAAAATCTCACAAAAACTGAAAATATTTGCCTATGAAAAAGCATACACAGACTTAAAAGAACAAAAACGATCATTTTTTCATACTTCAACAAAATTTTTCAATGTGAGTGGGTCTTCTCTCCATTTTTTTGAAAGATAATCCTAAAAGTTTGCGATAAAATACATATTTTTTGGTTTACAAAAAAATGGAGGGAAGACCCACTATACCTTAAAAATACACTTTTATGACAAAACATTCGCATATTTCCGAGAAATACTTCAAGTCCATTAATTCAAGGGTCATATCACAAACATGATTTAAATGCCACTACAACACAGGAGCCATGTAGCATAGTGGTTAGCGCGTTAGTCTCAAAGCAGCCTGATATTTCGGTATTTTATTGCTGGGGTTCGAATCCCACGAATAACATGGAATATTTTTATAAATGAAATCTTTTAAAGAAATTTATTTTTCTCCCAGAAAAAGTTTTTTTCCCTCATAATTTTATAAATTTCAATTATGAGATGTAGATTTAAATGCTCATTTAACATATCATATGTGATTTCTTAATATCTGACGCTATAGGCATTCTGCCCGCCTTATCCGCCCATCTTCTTTCAAACGATGGAGAACCCTAGTAAAAATGTATAATATACAATCTTATTGTCGCCCGCGATGCGCAGAGGGAGAGCATCTGTTCTAAGTAGTTCCTTATATCGCAGGTTCGAATCCCACTGTGGGATATTGAAACCGGTCCTTCGGATGAGACCGTATAAACCGTGGTCCCGTGTCAATTCAAGTAGGTGTTGGCAAGAAAAAAAATCACTCACTAATTTTCATAGTTTAGAATGTAAGAACTATTTCATCCGTTTCTACGTTCAATGAAATTGTTTCCTAGAATTAATTTTGTCCGTATTACGAAGAAAACCCGATGATCCGAAAGTGCCTGTACCATAATTGCAATTTATTTTAAGTTTATTAAAAGACTTCCTTACATAAACATAATGGAAACATTGTACGAAATGAAAAAAAAAAAATTCAGCGGAGTGAGGTTAGGGACTTCATTTCATTTAACTGATTTATTTGAATTTTTATTTACCATTCAAGCAATGAGATGATTTTTTAATCCATAAATTGTACAATTATTTAATACATTTTGAATTTAATCTTTGATAAGTTTGTTCAAACAAGTTAGGAACAAAATCCCGAAAATAAGTAGATGCGTTTCATTAGAGCCATGTAGTATTCGAGGTTACTAATTGGCCCCAGGTGAGAAATCAGTACAGAGATGTTGACGGTGATCACACACACGGACCGCGGTGTCAGTTCGGGGAGAAGGGGGAGGGGGTGGTTGACCGCAGAGGAAGGCAGTGTGCTGATTAGAGAGCTACACATACGTGTCAGTTTTCTGGTAAGGAAATGTTTTCGATTTATTTTTTTTTTTGGCATCCCGATGGATTATATTTTCAGTTTATTTCCATGTCGAAAAGGTAAGCTGTTTAAAAACTTCACGTTTTTCCCTGTATATATTATTTTTATGTTATCTTATGCCAGATAAAAGTAATGAAAATCTTCTATTTTATAGTAACGGCTATTGTATTGGAATTGGGTAGAATATTTTCATGCATTATATTTTATAATTTTGATTTTTTAAAATTAATTAGGACATATGCCTAAATAATTTTAAAATTTGAACATATACGGTCAAAATCGTTGTTAAAATAATCTGGATCAATGTCTTATGTTTTATTTTTTTGGAACATCAGACTTTAAATAATTGTGCATACATGCAGATCAGAAACGTTAACATATTACTATCGTTATTTTCAGACGATAAACAAGGAAAAACAGAATATTGCATGAAAAAAAGATACAATTCAATATCCTGCTTATTATTTATTTATATTTGCTTTTTGTGTACGCGAACATCGTAGCTTACCACAAATCTTTTTCCGGTTACTCCGATTCATTTAAGAAAATCATATTAATAGTATTTAATTTTGACAAAATATATGATATAATTCGATAAATTATTTGAAAAAAAAGACCAGGTGATTGATCTACTTATAATTTCATTTCCGAAAAATAGAGTCACTGTTTAAATTTTGACAATCACTCTCTGCTTTACCATGATATAATTATTCTATCTATTTATTTAATTATTTATTAATAAATCAATTTATTCATTCATGAAATACGCTATTAATTATCTTTTTCCTCTACGCTTTAATATTTCTAAAGTATATTGATGAAAAAGAAAGGGATAAAACTTTATTTTCTCTTTTTCGGTTGAATTAATCTTATTTTTATTAACAAAACGAAAAAGAAACTCGGTATAGCTCAGTAGTTTCTCTGTATAGTAAAGATAAAAAGCGAGGGTTTCCGAATATACACGATAAACGCAAAACACGATACACGATAGAACCTGATAAACGATCTACACGATAAACGAAAAACACGATAAACGGAAAACACGATAGAAAACGCAAAACCTGTTAAACGTACATGTAAAACACGATTCGATAGGATACACGCACGATACGATAGGATATACACGCACGATAGAACACGATAGAATTGTAAAGAATAACGATGCAGGTACTGTATGTACCTTTCTGGATTTTTGGTTTATCCCAATCGTTCTTCAAAGCAGGCATTGCATTCACTCCTGAAAGATAAATATACTATTACGTATCGAAAGACATTTGTTGACAAGAGCTTTAACAGGTCGAGGAAACTATTTTCTGTGACGTCGGAATAAATTTACATGTTAAGTGAGGAACCAACGTGACTGACTTATCGACCAATCAGCTCAATGAGTTGCATTATGGGTTACTACAAAAATACTACATGTGTGTTTCGAAAACCCATTTTTTTAATCGCTCTCGGAAAGACGTGATGCATTTTTCCAAACATTTTACACGCTTAATATAATATGTACATTATTATCTACTAATCCCATGCTCACATTTACATACAAATGATTAACAATGATAAAAATAGGGTATTTTCCACTCCATTGCACAAGTCCGTTTGTTTACAGCTTTCCCAGTTCTGTACTGTCAGTGAAAAGTCAATTTCACGTGGCTATTCATCGGTGAAAAACAACTCTGAGGTGTGCTCACGTATTGACAATGTTTACAACGTATACAACTTCGAAACATACATTATGCTACTCAATACATGTTCTATGATCAATGCACATGAGAATTAATATACATTTAAATATTAATATACGTACAACTCAAGTCCTTTTTGTAAATGCATGGACTTTAAATTTCTAGTAAAAAAATAACTGAGCAACAACTAATTCAGCCAGTTTACATTCCAAATTTACAATTATCAAGTACTGGAGTCCTTTATTTTTTACTTGTGGAGAATTTGTGAGCGGTATTTCAAAGTACTATTTAACAAGGAAAACTGATTTTGTTTTTTAATGTGAGCATGGCAATTCTTAATTAGTACCTATTCTTCGTATTTTTCTCAAAAACGTTTCAAAAAATTGTAAATTGACTTTCCAGCAGTCATTTGAAGTCGCATCCTAAATTTCCCTTAACCCACGTGTTTGTAGTAAAAATAAACATGTAGTAGACCGTCATGCTTTTCGGCTCATTCAACAGACTGGACCATTGTTTGCTGTGAGCACCTTTGTGCGCAATGACAACGATATCCATATAAGGTAGTTTCCTCGACCTGTTTAATCGTACACTGAAGCAAACATAATTGCAGATTAAATTTGTATTTGCCAAATAATTATTATTATTATTTTTTTTTTGGATCTCACATCAAGGAGAGATCATTGTAACTTTGTTTATTTTTCCATATGTTACAATGACCTGGTGATCTTTGAATATAAAACCTTTGTGTACTTGAAAATAAAAGCAATCAATTGATAAATTGATTGTATGTTGTTTACGTCCCATTAAAGAATTGTTCAATCATGTAGACACGTCACTTTATACCGGTGAGGCTTAAATTTCAGCAGTGAAGGATCTTTATCCTGCCAACGCATGTCTTTGACACGGGAACTTGGTCTCATCACAAGGACCTGCATCTTTCACCCATGGCGCATGGCGAATGAACAGTTGCTACCAATTTGTCATTAAATTTTTGGCAGATGGTTATTCCTAATTTCCAAAACACGGAGCGAGTGCTCTAAGGACTGAGCGACCGAGAACGGTAAAATAAAAAAAAAGACAACTTTGAATTCAGTTAATGCTCTATAGTTACCTCCAATACAGTCGCATGTTTGGCAGTCCATATTTTCATTGTAGACGTTGATTTTAAAGTATTGGAAATGGTAATGTTCAAGCTCTTGTGTTATCGTTAGCAGTGGCAGATGAACGTGTTCTTTTAAAGAATATCTTCCGGGAAAGTCTTTACAGGTTTTTATGCTGTTGATACCACTGAGCAATCTCAGCACACAACCTGTGAAATGAAACTTGGGTGTTTGTGAATTGATAATACTTTGATTGCAGAGAAAATATAGACGGGAATATTTTCTATTGTTTTTTTGGTGTATTCCTTTAAAGACATGGTGGAACATGCGTTGATTAACAAACTCCAAATACTTCCAAATAAAGATTAAAAGTTTACCATATATCTTGATTTTTATTTCTTTTGATAATAGTTTTTAAACTCCAATTCAAACTGAATTCAATTCCGAAATGTTATAAAACCGAACATTAAAAAGAACTGAAATAAAAAAGGCCACAAAATGTCAACAAGTGTAGGCATAAAACAAATTACTATAATCTACACATAAACTTACATGTTTACAATTCAGGCATTTTTGGTAGAAATGAATACCCACCTGTACTACTTCCATTGCTTAATCCAGCAGCAACAATGTCATTCTCATAGGCGGCAGAACGTTTTGGGGGGCTAAAATGCCCTTTTGAAAGAATATATGTGTGGCAAAGGACTTTCTTTTTTGGAATTTGGAAATTTTCATAAAGGAGATACATGTACATGTACATGAAATGAACTCCCCAGACACAGAGCGTAATGATATCTAAAATAATAAAGAAAACATAGATGTATATAACAGACTCAGGATAATTGAGAATCATTTTTTTATTTAACAGAATAAACAGGAATATTTTTGTGACGATTTTTTTAGTTCAACAGAAAATGATAAAATACATAAATATCTTTTTAAAGAAAAGATTCATTAATCTGGTTTTATTCCTTGCAGTTAGATAACATATTCTACGTTGTGGTAAGATAAAGATAAATACAGTTGTAATCTCTGGTAACTATTGACATTAATGATCATGTAATCTGATACTACTACACGAGGGGTGATCAAAACTTTTCTTTTTCAACAAGAAGTAATATTTAGTTAAATTTTGTGTTCATTAATATTTTAGAATAGCCCTTTCCAATTTTAATGGGCATCTGTTATCCATCTGCACATGCGCAAACCATGCGATCTAGGAGTTATGAAGCATGTTCCATAGTATTCTGTAACTTTACATAGAAGCTAAGGCATCTTTGAGCTTTATATTCTTATCATGCAAGTTTTTTATTAGGTCACCTAGGTCACTAAACTAAATTTGGCTTAAAGCGTCTATGGTTGAAGGGTAACAAAATTGTGAACTTCAGGACACCTGCCCCCTAGGGTCCAAGGGGTGAGGCAAAAACACTCATATTGATGCAACCTTTGAAAATGTTATTCTTCACTCCTGGACATCAAGCTATCAAATACTAGTACTGTTGTCATGATTGTAATGAGCATTGATTCTTCTACCAAAATTGTAAAATTCATGGCCCCAGGGTCAAGTTTTCTGGTACTAGGGCGGGGGTTATTGAAAGTACATTTATTTATTTCTTTGAAAATGTTCCCTGCTCCTGGGCATCTGGGTATTAAACAAACTAAGTACAACCGTTAAATATAATCTAGAGTTCCTCTTCAAAAATTGTGAATTTCATAGCCCCTGGGTCAGGAGTTCTGGTGCTAAGGCGGGACACTTTTGATCATATAGTGAAAATACATCAATGCTTTAAAAATCTTCTCCTCTGCTCCTGGATATGAAAAAACAAAGTACATAGTTATGATGAACAAAAGTGCCTCTTCTAAAATCATGAAATCCATAGTCCCAGGGTCAGGGATTCTGGTGTTAGGACAGGGCTATATAGATCATATATTGAAAGTGCATTCTTTCTTTGAAAACCCTCTTCTCTGCATCTGGATATTAAACAATCTAACTCAGTATGAGGGTTGTTCGCAAAGTTCGTGAACGATGTCAATCCACCTTATACTACTTTCAAGAAATTCAATATGTGAATAATACAATATGAAAAAAATATTTGTTTTGCTGATGTGTTAAGTTTCATTCCATTCGATTTAACAGAAATCAGTTTACTTCATTTTAAAATCAACGTGTTTCGTACCGGTGGAGCACACTTAAAGGCAATGTAACGTCAACGCAATACAGTTAAGGTGCGCAATGGAAATATCGACTACAAATTGTATTTAAAAATGAGTTCGTAATCGGGATGGCGATTATTTTTAGCACATTATTTATATCGGATAATTGTAATTATGATTAATAACTACATATCGAGGACGATTATATTTTATATCTAGACTAGTCACGTGTTGCGGCAGTCACGCGATTTTAGCATATTGACTTGAAGTATTGATGTTACATATAAATATCACTAGTGCAAGGGCATAACCAAGTATATTAAATTTCAAAGTTTAGTATATAAATATTTTCAACACGCATTGTACTTTCTAAAACGTGCTGCGATCCTGTGTAAATTCTACAATTCCATTGTTAAAATTATACTTGTATGACAGAATGCTATAAATTTTGCTGGTCAGCGGCATCAAATATTGATATAATTAAATTGTTTTTAAGATTTCATCTGGATCGCAGCACTTTTCAGATACCTTAATAGTTCTTTAGTTGAAATGTAAAAGCCTAAGTTGATCCATATAGTGTATGCCCTTGCACTAGATCGATTTATTAAGATCCCCCATATTACCCTCCGATGTACTTGCATACAAATATACGGCTGTGTCAATTAAATACGTAAAGTACAGAAAATATATTATTTATAAAATAGTGAAGAAGACATTCAATTCAAGTTATTGGCCCACGGAATATCTGTAAATAATATTTTATTTAAGTAGTTAAATTAGCAGATAAACTCATTTTGTGGTATTTTAAAGAAATGTTGTTTGACGTATATTATGTAATGTCATAGTCAAGTTTTCCCGTACAAATTAGGCTACGCCTCCTTTTTGTAACCTTAACTGTGCTGCGAAAACACAGCCTCAAGTACAGGGTGTTTCGGAAACATGCAACCATTTACTTTCCTCACAATATAGATATGCAAACAGAAACATATGAAAGTTTTATTTAAAGTAAGGATAAACGGGCTTAAGTTTTTATCAATATCAAAAATTAAGAAAATAATTTTCGTTTCAAATAATTATGACGTCATATTTGACATAATTGAACACCCCCCCCCCCCCAGATAATTTCATTCCTAACGAGAAATTCAATAAAAAGCAGTCATTAGGAATTTCGATAATGCTTTGTCGGAGCATGTTATCACTTCCTGTGATTACCAGCAATGCATGAGAATAGGGTTAATAAAATGCAAAGAAATTACTTAAAGCAATATTAAGTGGAAGTTGTATAAATCTGTTAAACTTTATAGCTTATGGAAGAGTGCATGGTCAAAAGAAAAAAGGGAAAATGATTAAAGAAAAAGACAAGTAGAACACATGAAAACAATAAGAATGTTACTCAAGAGGCATTGTTCCAGAGACTCACATAAAATCCTTTTGTAAAATAATTAATTTTGTGGACAAATCGCTGAATATGTGTTGAATCTTAAATTTTGGACTTGTTAGAACAAATGATTGGCGGACCATTCAACTCTTTCAAATCCATTAAATTGGACCACCAACCTCACCTGGCTTAACACCCCTTGATTTTTATCTGCAGGGATATTTAATGGTCAGTGTTTCACCCCACTCCCCCCCCAAAAAAAAAGTGAACTAAAATTAGTTTGAAAAGTGAGACCTGATTCATCTCAAAAAACTCTTTGCAAAAGTAATGAGAACTTTCTTGCATCGGATAGATTTATTCTTTCAGCTAAAATGACGTCATTTAGAGCATACCTTTTTAACTAAGTGAAAATTTATACGTAGTTTGTTTCTTTGATAATTCATTATCTATTTGCCGTATTAAATTTATTTTTATAAGAATAAATCTTCAAGTTTTGACTTTTGATTAGAGTTGTTGGTTCATGATATTGTTTAAAACATTAGTAAAATATAAATCAAAATGTTTTCTGAAAAACCCCGTATTTTTAAAAAGTACAATCCCTCTACGTTTCACACAGTATAATCCAATACCCACTAATAACAAACCCTTTTCTATCACTTGATATATTTTTTAAACATTTATTCTTGTTGTATAATTTCCTTTATTTAGTTTTAATTTCTTTAAATACTTAGCACTGCTTTCACAGGATAAGCAACTTTGAAGCGTCTCAAGTTTGTATTTCCTCAACGTTGAACTTTTTAGCATTTTTGTTCAGGTTCTACCAGATAAACCGTTTCATCACTGATTGTCCTCGTCCGATACAGTCGATTTCACTCAAATACCAACCTTACCATTTATAGAAGTGTCTTATTCTATCAAGGAAACTGTATTGGCTACTTCCAGACAGATGTTACCGCCCTCCCCCCCCCCCTTAAATCGTTTTCTGGAAACAAGTAAAGACTTGCATTTAAGTTGTTTTTTGGATTCCGTTAACATCTTCGATAATTCTCTCTTAAATTATGCTACGTATGCCTACTTAGTACATGTAATGTAGGTGTAACTAACCATGGATCATGGCCTAGCAGGGTTTTTTTTCTGCCACCGAACAAAGAAATCAAATGGTCCTTACAACTTTCAGTCAGAAGTTCGTTCAATGTAAAGCTCTTGCAATTGTCACATACCGTTTTCAAAGATGCAGGTAGCAAAAATTTTAACTTTTGAACACGATCTACTTTCTTTCGAGGGATGACAACATCAACTGTCAATTTACATCATCAAGTTATACGTCATCAATTTGAATATTGGCATTCATTCATGTAGTTTCGCAGGGTAAGTTTCAAAGTTTTGTTAAAACGAAAGTCGTATTAATTAAATAGAACATCTATCATTGTTTGATTTGATATTGGCTTTATAAAACTCGTTGAAATTGTGTATATTCGCTCGGCAAGCTTAGCGAATATATACACCAATTCAACTTGTTGGATAAAGCCAATATCAAATCACACTATATATTTATCCTCTAAGTATTATTATAACAGTAACTTGATCCGAAGGGTCAACGAGAGTGATACGACCCCTCGGAGCAAGATACTGTTATAATGATAAATTTATTATAAACCCCCTCATAACTAGCAAAATCTAGCAAAATAAAACTTTAGAGATCGATTGTATAACATTTATTCATAAAACAAGGCAAAGTAAAAAGGAACTTTTAAACGTGCAAGAAAAATAACGTCATGTTTCTGTGTACTACGTCAGCAGTTTTAGAGAGTGGTGATATAGATTCAGAAAACCACAATGGGGTGATCCTAAAAATTGGATCAAGACGTCACGCGATAGCGTAAAATCAACAGTAAAATAGAGTGATACACGTTAGATAAATCTTTTCATTATATTCCTCCAACCTTTTAAGAGTTTATTATTCAGGGGTTTCCTCTAGTACATGTTTAACACAAAATTGCTCAATATCTGCTGCTACGTTACGTTAAACAAAGTAATAATTTTTTGTCGCTTTCTGTGAGTACAACCTATCTTCTCGAAGCAAAGTATTAAGCCAAAATTTGGAATATGAATCACTTAACAGCTCTGAATTTAAAATGCTAGGATTTATTTTCGTTTTGTTCCATCTTACAGAGTATAGAGGCATTATCACATTTATTTAGTGTCTTGTTTGTGAATAACTAAATGTTGACAGGCTCCGCAGTCCGATTTTGGAAGTTTTTAATTCTTGATAGGTTAAAAAAAATTAAGTTAAATTTAAAGTGTTTAATACAAATCCGTTAAATTTATTATTAAAATATTTCTACCAAATTTGGATAGCATATGACGTTAAATAAAAAAAGATATGACACTAGTCAAGGAACTTTTTGAACATCCCTCGTACATAGGTATGATGACCAAGAGTGACTCTAGTAATATTGTGAATTTTATGGCCCCTAGGTCAAAGGAGTCTGGTATAAGGGTGAAACCCTAATGTCTAAATAGTGAAAATACATTAAGGTAGGATCGTCGACACAATATATCCTGGTGAGCTTGAGATAAAAGATACCACAGAGTCCGACACTTCCGCTTCATACTTGGATATTTTACTTGAAAAACACTCTAATGGTAATCGAACAAACAAGCTATATGAAAAACGTGATGACTTTAACTTTTCTATCATCAACTTCCATTACTTATGTAGCAATATACCTTTGTCACCTGCATACGGAGTACATATATCTCAGTTGATTCGAAACGCAAGAGTATGCTCTACGTATGAACAATTTCTTAAACGAGGTAAATTATTGACAAACAAGTTGATAAAACAATATCAACAGCCTCGTTTAAAGTCATCATTTCGTAAATTCTATTGTCGATACAATGACCTCGTCAGCAAATACAATTTATCATTGAATCAAATGCTGACTGACGTTTTTCATACCACTTGTTAGTCCATTATTTATACACTGGACTGACGACGGATTTTTTCCGTTATTTCCTGATCATGACAACGAGCACACGGCGGGTGTGACCGGTCGGCAGGGGATGCTCACTCCTCCATGGCATCTGATCCCACCTCTGATGTTTCGGAGGTCCGTGTTTGCTCTGCTCTTATTTTGTATATTGTTTAATGGACGTTGAGATTGAATACTGTTCATTATTTCCATATCCTTCATTGTAGTCATTGTTTCTGACTAAATGAAACATTAAAAGTATATACATGTACCTACGTCGACATCACTGTTATAGCATATTTTCAAATGATCGTTACAGGGTTAGATGTTTAGTTTCTGGGCAATCAAAAGATATTGACCTTTCTCATCATTGGCAATTGATTTTAGAAAAAGAACAACTGTTGAAAGTTTATGTAAAACAGACGACTTAAAATTCACATTGACCTGTCCCGGGGCACGCTCACATTAGCACATCGTCTAGGAAATAGCACAAATCAGATTAGAATTGAAAAGTTTACTGAGGGATAGGGGTAGGGCTTGAATTATAATACAACTTGAGAATGCCTCCATACTAATACTGCAAATAATTTTGCTGTTTTTGAGGTTTACATACATAAGATGTTTTTTAACATTTTGTTTATATAAATCACTTTGTAATAATTTGTATTTGACTCACCATCCCCCTACTTCAGAGGGTATTCATGATTTGAACAAATTTAATCTTCATTGCTTGCATGTCAATATGACTAATCATAGTTTTTCAGCTATTGAGATATTTTCCTTATTTTCCTCTGTAAAACTTTGATCAAGAGAGAGAGAGAGAGAGAGAGAGAGAGAGAGAGAGAGAGAGAGAGAGAGAGAGAGAGAGAGAGAGAGAGAGAGAGAGAGAGAGGCATATTTTAATTTTTTTCTTTACTGTAAAAATACATCTGCACTTACACGCAATGTCGGTGTCTTGTTGCCTTTTGCAATGCGTTTCATACGTGCTACATATCAGTGGATCTGCTCTTTGCTTGGATTTGTTCTTTTATGAAATAAACATTTTTTCAACCTTTATAATTTTCATAAACAAAAACAACATAACACATATATCTTATGCTAAATTGAAATAAGTCAATAGATGCCTTTACTATATATTTACCTTTAATTGCATATCCAATGATGAATTCTTCTCTGAAAATATTTTATTTCCACCAAACGGAGAAGGCATAAGTGTTGATGTCTAAAATTGAAGATAGTTTCTTTTCATTCGATTTCACAGAAAACAATCTTCTTTATTTTAAAATCAAAATATTTTATACCCACGGAGCACACTTAACGACAACGTAACGTCAAAACAGCGTCAAAGAATTTCTAATAAAATTATTATCCCTATACATTTCTCACAGTATTATCCAATGCCCACTCATTTAAAATCTTTTCTAGAACTTGACATTTATTTTTTAACATTTTTTTCGATGTATTTTTTCCTCTGTTGGGGTTTCAATTTCTTTTATTACTTAATTCTGCTTTCACAGAATAAGTAAATCTAAAACGCATATGTCTCATCTTATTGTACGTAAACCACGGATCCTACCCATAGCAGGATCTGGGAAACGTAAATGGTATATGAAGAAATAAGTAAATTTAACGATGAAAATATTGAAGTAATCTCGTTTGTCCTACAGTTTAGTTTTCCATTGGTCCTTATCTTCTTAAGTCAACAGAACATCCAAACATGAGAAATATTATATGGTGTCCTAAGTTCCCTGGGAAAATTTTATATTTATACGATGGCTGCGCAATAAAATAATATCCTCGATCGGTGCTCGAAAAGAAGCCAAAAAAAAATGCTTTTAAATAATTACGTTTTTATGATTTCACCTCAATATTTTCTTTTAATTACAACATGCGTCCGTAATAATTTTATTCAAAGTCTGATTGCTTTTGTATCACATTTTTGAGTATGGCCCTTAGTATACTAGAATATGACAGACCCTTTGATTTCCTATACTTGATTTGTTTTTCTTCAAGTTTGGAAAACCAAGATGTCAAAGGCTGAAAGAAGTGGCGAATTTTGTTGGTTTTACAAAACATAAAAAGAACTGCAAACGATAGTATTGTTCTCCCTCCTACCTCCAAGTCAATTTTTAAAAATTTACAAATTTGATGAATTTTTAATATTTTTTTAGAGATAATTATATGGAATTTCATAATAAAACATTACTTATTTTGGAAAACAAAGAGATATAACTCTAAAATTTTGCTAAAACTTGTGTTTTTCACTATAGAAATCAACGGAAAACGGAAAATATTTTTAAAACATCTCCTCCCCCGGGTCACAATAATTCCTTTTTACAGGTTATATGGAGTGTTATTTAACAAATTCATACCAAAGCTTTTTGTGTTACACGGGCGGGAACAGATGTTTATTGACAATAAACGATAAAAATGTTTATTTTCCATCAATTTCAAAGCGATTTACAACTAAAACATTATATATGTTTTATTGATATATTCATGATTTATTTATTTGCCTAAGACAAAAGAAAAGATATAAGAAACATTTAATCATATCCAAGACTATTTCAAAATATGTTGATGCCTGAAACTCCGATTTCAATGAAAAATATCGCCTACCCCCCTTTTTTGAAGAGCTGGAATTATGGATAATTTACTGTTAAGCGCTGGTATTAAGACAATTCATCAATTACTATTGAACCGTTCTTTGTATTGAACAAAGATTTTATGACAAAATTAATGTTCACTTTGAATTAAATGGTTCCAAAATGTAGGCGGGAATCGAGAGTTAGCGTGCGTATTTCTTTCTGTTAATCCCGAAACTCCTTTACTTTTCAGGCTGTTTAGGTTAGGGCGTCGTCATGAAGAGATTTAATGTAGTGGATTCCTGATTTTGGTTCATTCCTCTCATAAACATTCGGGTTTCTTTTGGCAAAACAATTTGCTTTCTAGACTCCTTCAAAAATTGAACTGCCTCCCCGAAGACGAATTTGAACAACAAGACCGATAGTATTTAAAACAAAGTGGAATGTAAAACTATTTTTGTGCTCTTGCAATTTTGTACTCTTTTGTATCTTATCATCAATGTGTTTTTGGGGTTTTCAGCAATAGATTCAAGATTTATTATATGTTTGATATTTCAGACAAACGTGGGAAACTGATATTTCTGATCTTTCTTTAAAAAAATCGTTTAGATATTCTTGTATGCTGCCGTTTACACTCATTTTTTTCATCCAACCATTGAGTAGTAAGCTTTTCACAATAAAATGTTTCTTTTAAAGAGTTTGAACTACTCTTAAAATTGTGTCCATCAATTTTTCCGTTATATGTCGTTAGGTCAATCAAACATCATCTTTAAGTGAATATTAATTTGGGATACTTAACAACTTTTACAGCTTTAATGAAGCGCTTTAATTCAATCTAGTTTAATGATTCTTTACTATTTATCTTTTAGGCAGTGTCTTGAATAGCCCTTGTTTTCCAGCTTCTCACATTTGAACTATGTGATTTAAAGTCGTCAGATAAACTGTTATCAATTAATTAAAGATTCAATAATGAAAGGGAGTGAAGCTTAATGTAATATGATATCTATGTTGAATGTCATAGAGTTCAGGGGATCGTAACATAAAAAGTACTTAAGTCTAAGACCCTACTTAAGTAAGACATAAGTACATTATTTGTCTTAAGTCCGTATCATAAAGGATGCTAAGAAAAACAAATCTTAGCAAAACTTAGGCGATCAACGTAGGTGACTTAAGTGCGTGTGTTACATAACATGAACACATTATATGTAAAACTGTTAAAATATAACGATAAATATTGTAATTATTTCATTTGTTATTAATTGATAAGATAATCTTATATCTCTTCTAGTCAATAAATAGCAATTATGTCTTATGTACATGTATAGAGCAATTTAAACATATACATGAAGCAAAATAACCCTAAAGGATATAAATGTGTGTACATTATTAATTATGATTGAAAATCAGTGGCAGGTTAACATGGCCGGTAATCACAGAGAAACTGAGAGTAGTATTCAGAGGTCTGTGAATAAAGACATAATCAAACACTATTTACAATAGATATTAGAAGTTAAGTTCGAATACACAGTTATTACACGAATGGCGTCTGCTTATATATTTCTACAAAGTGGGAGGAAAAAGAAAGATGTTCTGAGGGAGTAGACGGCTGTAAATATGGAATCATCATCTATGGCCTACGTGGATATGCTGAACCACCCGAGAGCCATCCCTAGCTAATTTCAACTATATGGAATAGTCGTGCATCTATTGATATTTTAAAATTGTATGATGTTGAGTAAGCAGTTAAGGACCCCCCCCCCCCCACACACACACTCACTTATATACAAGTATTTTCAAACTTTACATTTTACCATTTTTTATTTAATCATATCTTAATCTTGGTATCAATTCTGGTAATGTTGTAAGAGAAAATGAATTAAAAAAAATGGAGCATAACACTACCAACCTCTTTGAGGAAGGGGTTTCGCCCACCGCTTTTTTTTGTTCGATTTCCCTAGTACAACCCCATTCTAATTTAACCAAGAATTCTTAAAATTATAATTATGAAATACTGTAGTATTATGCTCGAAAACTAGGTATAAACAAATAACTTTATGAAAATATCAAATGTATATTTTTAAAACCAATATGTTTTGATATTCTATATTAAATGTTCCCTGCAATTTAAGATGATAGTTGCGAAAGGGGTTTTGCACAATATGTACATCAATCACAGGATACAGTTGCCATTATCTTCCGTAAACGAAAAGCAAACCTTAGTGAAAAAGAACGTGACGGAATTTTTAAAGACTAAAAGTCCCTAAGGACAATTGTGACAATAGCCAGGCGTGATAAGGGAAGTAAAAAATATTCAGTTTGTGAGTAAATATCACATTTACATGTAATAACCAACGCTACATTATGAACTTTTACACTGTGTAATATTTTAATTCAATACGTGTGTATCACTTAGCTAAGATCTTATTTAGTTCGCTTAATGTTACAGTAAAAAACATACTTAAGTAGTACTTATGTAGGTCCTAAAAATGTGCTTAACGCGTACTTAAGACCGTACTTAAGTCAAAAACTTAGCATGCTCTATGTTACGACCCCCAGTACATTATTTATTAAGTTTGGAAAAAATATGTTTTAAGGAATAAAAAACAAGTAATCAAATAAAGTAAACAACTATTTCCCGTCAGAAATTCAACTGTTTGTTGGAAGACCTTGCCGTCGAAATAGAGATGTTGTTGTTAATGAATTTGAAACTCCATCATTCTCAGTTGTCTTTGATATAAAAAAGCATAGTTTTTAAGAGAGTGATATTTACAAGTATATATCTTGTATGTATCTTGTATATTTTACAAGAGTGATATTTGAACGACTGTTATCAGGTAAAATCATGAACAATAATCATCACTGCTTTATAAAATTTTCACTACCTTTGAGTACATTATTCATCAATAAACATATCATTTTCAAATACATATATTTATTAATGATTATGTGCTACTAGGCCTTAAGCCGCACGAAAAATAATGTCAAAGTGCCCAAATCATCGCCATAATTCCTCTTTACTAAAAAATTAGATAAGTCCCACTTACATTAAGGGATTTAATTGTGCCAGATACTTTGATTTCCGCTTATTCACCCTTATACAGGGGGAACCTTTCTCGCCCACAAATAGGACCTACAGAATATTTATTTGTAATTTACGGACAGTATAATCTTGCTGTCATTCAATTAAAAAGGCAATCTTAAAGTACCGACAGGACAAAACCTAACAGAAAGCGAACCCGGAGCACACCCCGTGTTCGCTTGGGGTCCGCTAGGGCTGACCCCGAGCGAACCCAAATCGGACCTAGAGAGCGAACCCCAAAATGAAGAGCGGTCCTAGAAAGGGAACACGCGTTCAGTATTTCTTTACAGAGCTGTCATGCAGGATTACTGATTAACAAATCAGATCGTCGACCAATTAAAATGGCATATTGATATGTCGATCCGGATAAAAACATTGAATGTGATGATGTTATTCGATATAAATAGAAATATTGTGCATGCAAGCAAAGCGTGTGTATGTACAGTGTAAATCTATTCTAATAATTAACGTACTATTGTATATTCATTTAATATTTTATCCGGGCTGTATATTATATTTATTAATATTTTTTACTATAAGAGCAGTAAGTAAATTAT